CTTTTAACTCTTTCAATATATTGTTTGTGTCTGGTATATGTTTGAGACGGCCATATAGTTGTCGAAGTCATTGCATATAATCTTTGAGTCTGGAATATTGTATGGCAAAATGGGGATATATAGAAACTTCCACCGAACAAATCTACAAATGTTAGACCATTCGGTAGTTTCTTAAGTTCTCTCAATATAATATCTTTACATTTACTCTTATTTCCAAAGAACGGTAACGTGGTTTTGTAAAATTCATTTATATATAATAATAAAAATGTTTTTTTCCTGAAAAGTGACAGAAAAGTGACAAAACATTTACGAAGAAATCATGAGTTTTCTACCCTCTTGAATTTTCATGAAATTTACACCAAAAATATATTTTAGGTGAAGAGGTGAGATTCACCTCTTTTTTCACCTCTTTTTTCACCTCATGAATTTTCATGAATTTCTTCGTAAAGACTTTGTTAAGACTTCTTCATCTAATTTCTCATGAACTTTCTTGTCTATGTTTTGTCAAGATTTCATCGTAAAGACTTTGTTGAGATTTCTTCGTAAATGACCCTAGTAGTATATTTTTGGTGTAAATTTCATGAAAATCAAGAGGGTGAAAAATTAGGTGAAAAAACAGGTGAAATCTCACCTCTTCACCTAAACATTATTTTTGGTGAAATTTCATGAAAATTCAAGAGGGTAAAAATTAGGTGAAAAACAGGTGAAATCTCACCTCTTCACCTAAACATTATTTTTGGTGTAAAATTCTGAGTAAAATGACAGATGAACACATACTTTTTCAGTAAGTACATATGGGGTAGAAAAGAGGGTAGAAAACGGGGTAGATATACCCTTCTACCCTAAAATATATTTTTGTCTGATTTACGCTCATTACGATGAAGTCTTGACAAAGGTCTTTACGATGAAATCTTGACAAAGTCTTTACGATGAAGTTTGACAAAGTCTTTACGATTGAAATCTTGACAAAGTCTTTACGATGAAGTTTTGACAAAGTCTTTACGATGAAATCTTGACAAAGTCTTTACGATGAAATCTTGACAAAGTCTTTACGATGAAATCTTGACAAAGTCTTTACGATGAAATTCATGAAAATTCAAGAGGTAAAAATGAGGTGAAAAAACAGGTGAAATCTCACCTCTTCACCTAAAATATATTTTTATTGAATTCTGTATAATAATTCTGAGTAATATGACAGATGTTTATATAACACTTTCTCCGGTTTATAGGACCTTCTTATCATATTCTATTTGTCATATCAAAACTCATAGTCATGTTGTCCTCTAAGACTTCATTTATACTAAAACATCTTCAGGGCTAGAAGGCACGAAGTGCCTGAAGCCCCACTACCTTTTTTTTTTTTTTTTTTTTGATCTAAAATATTAAAAGTAAAAAATTGAATTACGGAAAAAGTGAGGTCAAAAGTGAAATAAATTTGCAGAACAATTTTCATTGAAATAAGCATTGAGTTCACACATTAGTGAATCAACATCTATAAGAATGAAGTGTTTGAAGCTGAAAGAATATTGAATAGAATTAATTTTTTCTGAAATTTTGAATGAATTATGGGAAATAAAAAAATTACTAAATATTGTATTCATACACATATATTATTTTAAAGGAAAAATAGATGCTGATAGAAACGATGAAAAATTTTGAAAACTTTACAATTAATTTATGTTCGTTAACCACAGAGCTTGCAATCCAAAGCTCACGTTAGACAACAAGAGTCATGAAGTCTCATACTAAGGGATATCCAACATATATTTTAATAATCTAATGTTTGTGACAAATATTCAACATAAAATTAGTTTTCGTTTCGTTACAAGGCATTCATACTTTGGAGATATCATATTTAATGTACAGAAAAGTTAATATTAAACAATACATGCTAAAGAATTAATAAATAAGATAATAAAATAAATTTATACGTAATTACTTTCATTTAATATGCTTTTATGCTGCATATATGATTAAGAGGCATTAAAAGGTTCCATAGTCTGCTTTTATAGGCAAGATTTTTGATAAAAATTTAAAATTTTGAAAAATGATGAGAAAAGGAAAAAAAAGGTAAATGAGAGCAAGAGGAGGGAAAAAAAAGAAAAAGAAAGGAAAGGGAAGGGAAAAATAAAAGAAAGAAGGACATATAAAAATTTAGATGCGCATTCTTAATGCCGAGGCGGCTTGCCGCCGAGGCGCGATTTTTTTAGGCCTCTACGGTAACCCGGCAATGTTTTTTTAAATCTTGTACAGCCCTATTGTAACAGAATAGAACAATCACCAAATTTTTTTTGAAATTAAAAAATAAAAGTAAAAAGTATAAAGTAATCTAACCAAAAAAGATATTTAAAAGAATTTTGGAAAAAACAGAATAAGGATAATGATATTATTTTAGATACACAATCGATGTACTGAAGAATAATCCGGTAAAATGATGATATAAAATTAGATTATTTTACAAGTAGCTAAAAGAATAAAACTATAATATAAAATAAATGAAGTTTAATGAAACAATAAAGGTTAAATAAATAATAAAGATTTTTATTTTATATCAGTATTGAGAAGAAGTAACAGCTGACACTTGGTAGACAACTTCTTTATGTCTAGAAAATTCTATCTTGCCTTTTATTTTTTTCTCGCTGTGAAACGTATTCGGTCTTTTTTTTAAAAATTAATTTTTTGTTAGAGATAAGAGCTAAAACTCGGTAAACAACTTCTTTATGTCTAGAAAATTCTATCTTGCCTTTTATTTTTTTCTCGCTGTGAAACGTATTCGGTCTTTTTTTTAAAAATTAATTTTTTGTTAGAGATAAGAGCTAAAACTCGGTAAACAACTTCTTTATGTCTAGAAAATTCTATCTTGCCTTTTATTTTTTTCTCGCTGTGAAACGTATTCGGTCTTTTTTTAAAAATTAATTTTTGTTAGAGATAAGACTAAAACTTTGCAGACAACTCCCATGTCTAGCAAATTTAACATTCGTCTCCCATTTTTATATATTTGGTTTAGAATGTTCGAAAATGCGTAATATGGTCATTAATTTTAATTGAAAAGAACCTTGAATTAATTCAATCTGATCTCACAAAATATTTTGAATTACAAACTTTGTAGTTTGAATAGATAAATAGTAATAAACTCAAATAACTAGTTTATTTTTGAATAAAAATTATTTGAATTTATTCAATTTTGTGAATTTTCCTTCAAAAATCAAGTTTAAATATTGTAATAAACAGAAATTCATCAAAAGTGACAGCTCTTAATTTTTTGACATTTGTAAATTCTAAATTGAATGAGAAAAATGAAATAATACTAAGCATAATACAATATTCTAGATTTAATTATAATTAGGAAAAAGTTAGTTTTGAGAGTACTTTTCATAGGCATATAGAATGAAATCTTCTGAAAAATAATATCACATAAACTCATATTATTTTCTAATATATAACTATTTTATATAAAAATCAAATTCAATGATCTTAAAAGCGAAGGATAAACCTCAAAATTTACGAATATAATGAGTGGGAATATAATGCTTATCTATCATAAAACCATATGAAATATCAATTTTTGCTTTACGCCTAATTTTTGACGACAATTAGCAAAAAATTTAAATGTTAACACTCAGTCCATTTGAATATGAAAAATAAAATTGACTTTGATTAAATGTTTTTATTTATCATGCAATTCTTCTTGCGACCAAAGATTTGAATAAAAGTTCAAAAAATAAGATAGCTTAAAAAATAATATACGGTAGTGTTTACTAATAGATGAATAGTATATAAATTCTATTAAAATGGATTTGATCAAAAAAATATATAAAATTTGATCATAAATAAAATCGTTTTAAATTACTTCTTCATTTAAATTATAACAATTATTTTTGGTTTTATATTTTTTTGGATCAAATCCATTTTAATAGAATTTATATACTATTCATCTATTAGTAAACACTACCGTATATTATTTTTTAAGCTATCTTATTTTTTGAACTTTTATTCAAATCTTTGGTCGCAAGAAGAATTGCATGATAAATAAAAACATTTAATCAAAGTCAATTTTATTTTTCATATTCAAATGACTGAGTGTTAACGTTTAACATTTTTTGCTAATTGTCGTCAAAAATTAGGCGTAAAGCAAAAAGTGATATTTCATATGGTTTTATGATAGATAAGCATTATATTCCACTCATTATATTCGTAAATTTTGAGGTTTATCCTTCGCTTTTAAGATCATTGAATTTGATTTTATATAATAGTTATATATTAGAAAATAATATGAGTTTATGTGATATTATTTTTCAGAAGATTTTGTGTTCTTCTTCAAAATTTTATTTTTTATTAAAAAGAATCTTTACAAAATATACATTTACTTTAATTAATATTTAAAAACGTGCACTATCAAAAGTTCCAAAAATTCAATATTTTAGCTTTTCTGAGGTGTCACTTTTGATGAATTTCTGTTTACAACAATATCGTATTTGCCATATAATTATAAATACAATGAAACATATTCGAAATTGAAAAGAATGACTTTTTCTGTTCTTTCAATCATTCAATTTGAATTTTGCAATATTGGATTTCTCATTAAATACCTATTAAAAACAACAAGCAATTTAACTTACATTCAAATTTATTTGTGTTATATTCAATCTTCTCAAAACTTATAATTTTCGGCTATAGCATGATTATATGCTATATAATATAATAATCATATAATAGTATCATTCTTTCAATTATTTGAAGAGAAAACCGAAAAAATCTATTTTCGGTCTATAACACATCTAATATTACCAGAACATATTCAAATTACAACGAAATACATATATGATTTCTGTTACAAATATATATTTTCGAGAAAAAAGAGGATTATTTCCGAAATAGCAAAAAATGCCGCTTTTTTACGGTTAAAAAACGGTTATGACCAACAAAAAAAATCAAGTTGAAAAATATTAATATTATTAAAATAAATATCCACTTTAGAAAAATAATAAACAAAAATAAAATTAAAATTCAGCGTTAAGAAACATTTCATCATCGTCATTGAGAGATTCTTCATTATCTTCGATGTTATCAGTACCCATATTGAAGGTTGACAACATTGTGTTATCATCATCTGCATTAAACGTGACGATCGTCTGTTGCTGTCTTGTTTCATCGTTGAATAAATCACTGTCGTCATTGATCGAAGATTCTGATTCCGATGACTTGTTGTGGGACTTTCTGTACAAGAAGAGACCGATTATAGCTAAGCAGAACACCGCAACCAAACAAAGTACAGCGATCAGAATGATTGTGCCGGATTTAACGTTACTTCCGACAGTTGAGTCATCCAAAGGAATGATGATGTTTGTTTCAGTCATAACAAGTGTCATTGTGTATGTAGTAACTATTGTCTTTGTTTCAACTAAAGAAAGCGTTGATGTGTTATCTTCTTCATTGCCTTCACTTGCCTTTATTGAAGTGTTTTTCTCAACTAAAGTAGTTGAAACAGTAAGTGTAGTGGTATTAGATTCAATATAGGTCCAAGTTACTGTACTTGTTGTTTCTACACCTGATGTAATAACCCATGTTAGTACACTTGTATTAGCATATGCTATTGTTGTAATATTTGTTTCTGTCTTGTTAATTTTGTTACCTACATCAGTAGAAATGTTTGTAAGATAATCTGTATGGTATTGATATTGAACTTCAGTTAATGATTTTGTGTAACCACTGGATTCTCCTGTCACATCTGTTGGCTTTGATATGTCAATTGGTGGAATGTAAGGTGTAGAAAGAGGTGTGAATGAAGCTGTTGAATGAGCTGTTGAATGAGGAGTTGAATGCGGAGTTGAGAATACTGTTATGAATGGAGTTTTGTGAGCTGTTGAAAAAGGTGTTGAGTGTGCGGTAGAATGTGGAGTTGAATGAGCTGTGGAATGTGGAGTTGAGTGTGCGGTAGAATGTGGAGTTGAATGAGCTGTGGAATGTGCGGTAGAATGTGGTGTTGAATGAGCTGTTGAGTGTGGTGTAGAATGTGGTGTTGAATGAGCTGTTGGGTGTGCGGTAGAATGTGGTGTTGAATGAGCTGTTGAGTGTGGTGTAGAATGTGGTGTTGAATGAGCTGTTGGGTGTGCGGTAGAATGTGGTGTTGAATGAGCTGTTGAAAAAGGTGTTTTGTGAGCTGTTGAATGTGGTGTTGAATGAGCTGTGGAATGTGCGGTAGAATGTGGAGTAGAATTTGGTGTTGAATGTGGTGTTGAATGAAGTGTGCGGCTAGGAGCAGTTGGTATTGAATGGGTTTCACTGTAAGTTATTGATTTTGTAGCCGATTTTCTTGGGGGACTACTAGTTGTTTGTTTTGGAAGCCGAGTAATAGGTGTAGCAACATAAGTATAATTTGTTGGATCTACAATAGAGGAAGTTTTTGGTTGATCAGATTGTCGAGATGTATTTGTATTAGGTGTAAATGTGAAAATTGCACTTGTATTGTCATAGATCGATATTTGGGTATAGTTACCAGGTAAACATTTTGTGGGTGAAGTAGCATATGATATATTAACATCATATTTTTCCACAGGGCCTATTATTGCTGTATCTGAGTTAATCCCACTTGAATAGTAATCATGATTTGAATGCCATTTTACATAATCTTCAACCATAACGCTACTTCCAATGAGTTGATTTTCATGATAGAGATCAGTTGCAAGACCTTTAACCATTGAGTTTTCGTTGTAAAAATTGCCATAAGAAATAAATGTCTTATATTCTTGACTTGGGAGATAATTAATAAACGCTATACCTCCACAGCCTCTGCCCCTGAACCTCGGAGATACTTCTTTCTGAAAACCAAAATATTTTTTCTTGTAATAAGTATTATTATTATTATCGTAAGGAGGATCAGGATCTTTTGGATTGCCAGCACCAGCCTTGTTTCTTAAAACGCAATTTTGATAAAATGTCAGTTGGCTGTTCAAAAAGTAGAGAGCTCCACCTTGATCTCCAGCAAGATTAGATATAAAGTATGAATTTTGGATGTAAACGTCAGAATTAACAATAGCTTGTATGGCGCCACCTGCTTCGTAGGCTGTATTATTAATGAATACGTAATTAAATATTTGCAGAGTTTTGGAATTATTTATATTGCCTTCAAAAGAAATGGCACCTCCAAAACAATAAGCTGTATTTGAATCAAAAGTTTTTGAGTCGTTCGAACTTCCCGTAATATTTGATTCGAGAAAGGCTGTACACTCAGTCAAAGATATTGCTCCGCCATCAACAGCGCAGTTTTTGGAAAATTTGCAGTTATGAATCTCCATACCAGAGCAATATCCATACAGAGCACCGCCACAAGGTCCGCCCGTAACGGCTCCAAATGCGTAATTGTTATCAAATGAAGCTTCTTTTATTATAACTGAGCACATATAATATTCGTAATTAATTCTTAGTGTGCTTGAAGTTCCATTATTTGAAGTTAGTTCAATTCCAGCATCAATTCTTGTTTCGATATCGATATGGCTTTGGCTACTATTATTATCGTCCTGGAAAATTGGTTTATCAACCCCTTCTAACCTTTTTGGAAAACTGAAGTGGCTACAAATAAGTGGAGGAAGAAATAGAACTAGCATTGAAATGAAAATTTTTCAATACTTTTTTTGTAGCAAAGTGACAAATTATGCCTAATTCTAAGCTTCATATTAATATTAATTTCAAGTATAATATCATAATTAATATACATTTTTTTATAACTTTAAAATGTTGTGATATGCAATTCAATATCAATTAATTTTAGAACCTCATAATGATATAACCAATACAAATATCATAAAATTGATTTGATAATTATCTTTCAATTCAATTTTCAATCAATAAAATATTGTCACCTAAAATCTTTAACTTTATTTCGACATCAAAATGTAAAATCTGTTTGAATATTGCTACAATCAATTCAAATTTTTATTCGTATCTATCAAAAAGTTCGTCAAACCAAACTTTGTTGAATAAAGAGCTGTTGTAAACAGAAATTCATCAAAAGTGACACCTCAGAAAAGCTAAAATATTGAATTTTTGGAACTTTTGATAGAGCACGTTTTTAAATATTAATTAAAGTAAATGTATATTTTGTAAAGATTCTTTTTAATAAAAAAATAAAATTTTGAAGAAGAACACAAAATCTTCTGAAAAATAATATCACATAAACTCATATTATTTTCTAATATATAACTATTTTATATAAAAATCAAATTCAATGATCTTAAAAGCGAAGGATAAACCTCAAAATTTACGAATATAATGAGTGGGAATATAATGAGTGGGAATATAATGCTTATCTATCATAAAACCATATGAAATATCAATTTTTGCTTTACGCCTAATTTTTGACGACAATTAGCAAAAAATGTTAAATGTTAACACTCAGTCCATTTGAATATGAAAAATAAAATTGACTTTGATTAAATGTTTTTATTTATCATGCAATTCTTCTTGCGACCAAAGATTTGAATAAAAGTTCAAAAAATAAGATAGCTTAAAAAATAATATACGGTAGTGTTTACTAATAGATGAATAGTATATAAATTCTATTAAAATGGATTTGATCCAAAAAAATATAAAACCAAAAATAATTGTTATAATTTAAGGGTATAGTAAACTCAAAATTCTAGAGTTTTGAGAGTGCCAATAAACTCTATAGGCCTATATATATCTATATTTTAAAGGAGAGGTTACGCCATAATATTTGATATTATAAATTATTAATTCAAAATAAAAGTAGAAAATGAAACTAATTTTATTCTAACCTATATAAATATATCAATAATCTAAAATGATTATAGTCTGAACTATATTTTACCAGATTATCAAATATAAGAGAAATGAAATAAGGCATAAAAATATCATAGCATAATTATTGGATAAATGCATTAATAAATTATTTATATCATAATGAGAAAAAATCAAAATAAGAAAATGAGCATAATAATTTAATTAAAAACAAAAACAATAAATAAAATGTAATTTTCGTTAATCAAAGTCATCAATGTCTTCGTCTTCTGATTCCCATTCGGACTTGAAAACTTGATAATCTCCTCCTGGTACACTCTGAATGGATTTTTTGTATTTGTTCTGTTTTTTAGAACCTTTTGTAACAGTTTTTTGTTTCAATATCATTTTGGAGTAACAATTCTCTGCAAATGATTTGACACAATCTTCTGGAAGTGGGGGAAGATGTAATGCTTTTTGTATATCTCCGAGAAAATGCTCTGGATCATTCCATTCTAAGATTGCAACGTTAACTCTAGTGTTAATGTTCTTCCAGGCTCTTGATTTGTCCAAATAGCATGCAATTTTGGAGTTAAACGCTTCATTCATGCAGGTAGATCCAATGGAAGAAACTTTGGAAACTATGGGTGTCCATTTGTGAACCCAGTCATAGAGCATGAATTGAAGTTGGATCGAATTGACACCTTTTTGCCATTCAAAGCATTTGTAATTGTGCGGTTCGCAAAAAGAATGATTGCCTACGTAATGGTAGACACAATTCTCCCACATTTTCGTACGTTTGTCAATATTTTCTTCGGCAAAACATGACCAAAGCCACATACTTAGGCTTGCATTCAGACCCCAGAAAGGTCTCTCTATTTTTTCAATCTTCTGAGTCTTGTCGTTGAAAACTTCAACTGTCTTATGAGAAGCTGAGAACTTTGTAAAATCTTTTGAGATATTTTTTGATACATGACCTGGATCGAATTTTTCAAGATGAGAGACGCCAAATTCTTTAAAGACAGAGACACTTTTGTTATCTCGGTCTTTAATAATCTCTTTAACATCTTTCAAGATATTGTATTTCTTTAATTGCTTCAAGATGATTCGAGTTCCAGCACTTTCCATATTGTTGGAAGCTCCGGAATACTGAGCATGCTGTCTGTTTCCACCAATATGGTTGATGTTCACGCATGCAAGAACTCTTTTTGTGACAGCATCGAGCGCAGTTACTGTACAACTTGGCGAGTTTCGCCTGTGCGTCCATCTTGCATCAATGGATAAGTAACCACTGAAGGACTTTCTCGACAGCATTAGGGAAATACTTTTAAGTCTTCTAATCTTATCGTCACAAAATCTCTGTTGTCTCATGACACCACTCTTCACAGGGGGCTTAGTTCCACAAAGAGAAAGAAAGCGAGCACCTTTTGTATATGGCATTCCGGTCATTATGCAAGCACCAAGCATCTGTCGCGCTGAGAGTCGACGACGTTCGTGGAGTAAAATGTTATGCATTGCCTTTGTTTTCCGTTTTGGGTGAACAATATGGCCCATACAACAACAAAAAAATGAAATCCCGCCAAAAGTGAAAATTGAATAAAAAGTAATAATTAATAAATATATACTATATCATTAGATGAATATTTTGGAATAACATTTTAAAATCGAGGTTTTTCAATGGATAACGGTTCAATCAAAAATTTGACCCCATTTTAGAATCTACATTAAAAATGGAACATTTCTGTCGTTTCAAAATTCCAAAATAACGTTTCTATTCCTCTCAAAAGTAAAAATAAACTTTATTGGGGAAAAAATATTTTTATTTTCCAAAAAAAATGAAAACCTTAAATGCAAATCTAATTTTGATGCTTTTGTTTGTGATTTTTTGGATTTCGAAAAAAATTTGAAAATTCAGACAAGTTACCATTAACACTAATACGTTTCAGCGAGTCGGTCCCATCAGAGAAATTTTCATAAATCGGCGATATAATTTATTATTTCAGCAAAATATTCTCAGATCCAACTAGAATAAGGTCAAATTATACAAATTTAGCAAAGGCTAGTTATCCTACCTATTCAATTAACTTTAATTTTAAATAATTCAAGACAATTCTCAAAATTACCTTAATAATCGCGTTCTCTTCGCAAAATGACGATTCATCATTCACTACCAGCATAACTGAGGGCTTGTGCTCACAGAATAATACAGATAATTTACTTATTAATGCAAAATTTAGTACCAAAAGGTAATCATAGAAGATACAAAAAAAGTTTCTTTATTTTGATTGCTGATTTTATTTCTTCTAAAATTTACCAAATCTAAAAAATCCAAAATTGAATGCTATTGAATTTCATGTTTATGTAACATATACTATTTATTATATAAGGAATAAAAATTTTATAGTTTTAATCAAAAATAAAGGTGTACTAAATGCATACAAAACAAGGTATTTTTTACTCATCCAAAATATGTTAACAGTGCTATTTATATAATCAATATCCGAATTTCGAAATCATTTTGATGAAATCTTTATTTTAAAATTGAGTTGACTGTTAAAATCACCCGAGAAGAGGGATTATCTCAATGAAAAGTACATAAAATAGCAAACGCACAAGATGGCACTATGCAGCTTTATATTGTTATACAGGATGAACATATAAAATGTTTGGAAAACACTTACTTCGTTCTACAAATGTGTATCTCTTTATATCAAAGATTCTTCTCAAATTATTGAGAGACTTCTCTCAAAAAAAGGGAAATTTGATAACTAAAAAAATTATGGCATAACCTCTCGTTTTGCATAGATATATATTTACATGGTCACAGAGCTTATTTTCATTGTCAAAACTTAAAAATTTTTAGTGGACTATACCCTTAAATGAAAAAGTAATTTAAAACGATTTTATTTATGATCAAATTTTATATATTTTTTTGGATCAAATCCATTTTAATAGAATTTATATACTATTCATCTATTAGTAAACACTACCGTATATTATTTTTTAAGCTATCTTATTTTTTGAACTTTTATTCAAATCTTTGGTCGCAAGAAGAATTGCATGATAAATAAAAACATTTAATCAAAGTCAATTTTATTTTTCATATTCAAATGGACTGAGTGTTAACATTTAACATTTTTTGCTAATTGTCGTCAAAAATTAGGCGTAAAGCAAAAATTGATATTTCATATGGTTTTATGATAGATAAGCATTATATTCCCACTCATTATATTCGTAAATTTTGAGGTTTATCCTTCGCTTTTAAGATCATTGAATTTGATTTTTATATAAAATAGTTATATATTAGAAAATAATATGAGTTTATGTGATATTATTTTTCAGAAGATTTCATTCTATATGCCTATGAAAAGTACTCTCAAAACTAACTTTTTCCTAATTATAATTAAATCTAGAATATTGTATTATGCTTAGTATTATTTCATTTTTCTCATTCAATTTAGAATTTACAAATGTCAAAAAATTGAGTGCTGTCACTTTTGATGAATTTCTGTTTATTACAAATAAAGAGCTAATAAAATCCTGAGTTTTTTTTAAAGAAATTGAAAGACAATGTGAAAGATACAGTTTCTTGAATCCGATGCTGAGAATTCAATTATTGATGAGCTTGCTATCATCTGTTTTTGATTTTGGCCATTTATATTAGTGGTGCTTCAATTGGCCTGACATGCGATTTCTCATCTGGATAACGTTCGGTAATGGTGTAGTTGGATAGTATCGATAGTAAAATCTAATAGGCCCTACGATATTAGACTTAAACCCATACTGGTCAACACAAAATATTTCAAAAGTATGATAACCTTCCTTCGAACGAGAGCTTAAATCAACTGTAGAACTGAACATATGCAATCTCACACTTAAGCCATTCTTTCCACCATAATTAGATGCATCACTTTCAGAAATATTTGTGATAGATGTGTTATTTATCTCCATTCCTGCTTTTGAATTATTATCGAATATACAATAGAAAGTAACATTAATGTCACCATCAATATCAGTGATATTTCCTGTAATTTTAACCCGATCTTTAAAGAATCTGTTGTATTCTAAAGCAAATGAAGAACTATCCATGTTGTTAGAGAAATCTTTTGGACTATTAGACTTAACTCCATAAGAATTGGCATCAGTATAAATGGTTTCATTGTTATCAAATCTGTATTTAATGTAGACTGTCGTTGAATATCTTCGAGAATGACTTAAAGATCCGCTAATTAAGAATGGCTTTGAACAAGGTCTATAACTATCAGCGATTGAAGTTACAGTTAACGATGGTTTGTATGAAGAATCTTGATTTGTTGAAGATGAACCCATATTGAAATATAGCGTTTCACCTGGACCAATCCTTCTATCTTGCCATGAAAATGCAATTCCACAATCTATATTCTCTAAATCAGAATAATAATTTGAATCTCCTGTTCCATTATTCCACATTTTATCAATCCTAGCTCTAAATCTACCGTACCAATATGTATCTACACCAGGTGAATCGAAACCTCGTAATACAAAAGATAAAGTATAAGTTCCATCAGTCATTCGGAATCCAGTATTGCCATTTAGATTGTAAATAGAAGCGTAATCATTATTATTTATCTGTATATCAGCATGAGTCGCAATTCCAATAGTATGCAATCTTGTATCAGAGTTATAAACTTTGTATCCTATATTGGAGAACATATTTGATGAGCCCGAGCTTAATACTGTAGTAATCTTACAATTATTTAAAGTTTTATCATTATCTACTTTAAATACTGTATAATATCCTTGGTCACTGTATGTTGTTTGTTTATCATCTATCAAAATATTGAAATTTGCAGTATTAGATCTTGCAAAAAAGACTCTAAGACCCATTGTCAATTTATGACTGATTTTAAAAATTCAATGCATCAAAATCATTCAAATTTAAACAAAATTTCTAAAAGATCGTTTACGACAGATTATATGAAAAAATTTTATTTGGCAGATTCATTGATTTGTCAAAAAAATTGTTTCAGGTGGTTGAAAGATTGAAAAATAATACAAACATGTTTATTCTTTTGTTACATGGTTAATTAACAATTCTAGTAAGTTAGAATACCATTCTAACCTTCTTAAGCCAATATTTCGAACAAATTTATCTCGATAACGAGTTTCATAAAGATCTTTCAGGCTTGTTCTTCTTTCTATTATTAGCTTTGAAGATGCTTCGAGAGCTAAGAAGGATTGAGACTTCTGTTTAGAAAGAATAAGCCATCTGTAGCTTCTTCTCTCCAAAGAATTTTTCTTCATCAAAAGATCAATGATGTTATTGTACTGATCACCTTTAACAAACTCTTTGTAACTTTTCTCAATTTCTTTCAATTGGTTTTGTAAAGTTGTCACTTTTTGATTGGCATGAAAATTTCTTTGAACAACTTTATGGGCGGAATTTGTTATATTTCCTGATTTTACGTCTTCCTGTTGGATCAGGAGATTGAGCTCATCCTGCAGTTTTTTATTTTGCTGCTGGAGATTCATTATCTGTGCCTGATGGACCTCTATTTGGTCTTCAATTATGTTGTAAACTTTTTCTCGTAATTTTAGCTGTGCTTTCAATTTTTTCGCCGATGAACGAAGGAAGTCATTCATTTTGTTCTGCTCGTTGTTGACCTGTCTCTCGGCATCGATGTTGTATTGGATAGTATTGAGTAAATCAGTAACTTTTTGGATGTTTTTGTCAAGTTTTGCTGATTTATTTGATTCTTCTTCAATTTTCTTATGAACTTCGTTTAAAACATCTTGGCTCTCTTTATATTTCTCATTGATCGTTGAAAATGTCGACATTTCTTCTTCTTGCTGCTTAATATGAGAAGAATAAAAATCATATTCACGAAAACTTACATCAGTCTGCGTTCCTGCTTCAAATTTGTATATTCTGTCGATCTTCAGTTCTTTTTCTTGGCTTACATCAGCATTTACTGTTGATTCCAACTTAAAAATTGGATTATTTTTGTAAATTATCGATTCTGTATGTTCTAATTGATCTTTCTTTGCTTTATATGTTTCCTGAAGATTTTCTAAGTGCTTCTGCTTCTCCAAAGGCAAAATAGGAACTTTAATCAAAGGAGGAGTATCAAAAAGAGTTTCATCTGTGTTAGTTCCAACCGATACAATGACACCATCATATATCGATGTAGATTTGGCTACTCTATTCGTAATTTTCGTTGTATATTTCTTGATCTCTTGGACAATAGAGAACTTTGTTTTGTTATCTATTTCAATATGATCTAAAGTATCTGTAAGTTTATCTGGAGATTCAATATTTGGTTTTTTAATGTTTGTTTGTAATAACGAATTAAATTTCTTGTTTTGAAGTATTAAAACTGATAATTCTTTGTTTTCGCTTTCTATTTGCTTAGTTAAAGAATCAACGAAGTTAGAAAATGTAATTAAATCTTTAGATTTGGAATTTTCTAAAATTTTCGATGTATTTTCGTTAAAATCTTTGAAAAATTGGATCGAAAGTGGTATGTTTTCGCGTTGAAAATCGAATGATATACTTTTATCATTCAAATTTCCAAAAAAATGAACAATTCGTAATAAATCTTTTCTATATGCTTTATTTGTATTCAAATTATGGGATAGTTTGGCGAACAATACGTTGTTAGTTAGATTTAATGCATTTTTGTGAACATTTTCAACTAATTCGTTAATTTCTTTTTCTGTTTTTTTAAGTTTAGTCTGTTTTATTTGCCTTTCTGTAGTTTTGGTTCCTATATCTGCATTGATAATAGAAAGTTTTTCACCTAATTCTTTATTTTGTAAATTTAGATGATCATATCTTTCAGATAATGATTCATTTTCTAAATTTAAAGATAAATTGTGCTCCCTCTTAGATTCCATACCGGAAAGCATTACTTGAGCCTTCCTTATGGCTTTTGGCGAGAAGGAGTGCGCCATAATTGAAAAACAACAACAATATTTTATGATACCTCTTCAGCCTATCCAAATTACATTGTTCTAGTGACTCTAATTCAAATAGTATAATATGAATATTTGATTTCTAATGATAATTTTGAAGAGTAATCTATGATAATATTAAGTTTATATCCAAAAATTCAAACATGTACAATATATATAAATGAGATTTTGTATTTATGATGAAATAAAGCTTAAATTTATTTTTTTGAATTTTGAAATTTATATTTTTGCTGATGTTTTCTATGTAACTTTGATTAGCTACAAGATTTATAATTGATTTATTATATTTTTAATAATGGGGAAGTGGGGAAATTTTAAACCGCCACATTTTTATTTTTGTTTCTTTTTTGAATAATATTGACATAATGAACACGAGTTTGTCAGGTAGTATTAATCATAATAATCTGACAAATGACTTAGAGGACGAGAAACTCCAGCTTATGGATCAATTAAGAGACTTAAATAATCAATTGAATGACCAGAAGAAAGAAAACAAGAGAATTGTTGATGAATTGATAGAAAAGACCAATAAGCTTCGTGACTATTATGAAATCAAAGCACAACTTGATGAATCAAAGCAAAATTTAAAAACATCACAACAAGAAAACGGCGAATTAAAGAAGAAAGTTGATGATCTGACAAAGAGATCAGAAGAAGCAGAGAATCTAGCCAAAGAACTATCAAACAAAGCGAAACCACAAGAAAAACTTGAAATTCAAAATGAAAAACAACAAGAAAACATGAAAGACCAAATCCAAGCCAAAAACGAGATGATCGCAAAACTGAAGAAGAAGATAATTGTTCTTGTGAAAGAAATAGAAGGGAAAGACGAAGAAAACAAACAATTAAACCAGAAATTAAGTGAAATCGAAAATGAAACAGAAGAAAACAAAGAACTGAATCGATCATTCGAATCAAAGGTCTCCAACAACGAATTAGACCTAAAATCAAAAGAAAATGAAATAAAAATTTTGAAATCAAAAATAATTGAATTGAAAAAAGAAATTTCCGGCCAAAACGCAAAGCTTGAAGACGTATTATCACAGAATGACAAGAAGACACAAGAAAACGAGAAATTAAAAGAAGATTTGCAAGAATTATTAAAAAAATTAGGAAATTCAACCGACCAAAACCAACAACAAGAGAAATTGATATCTGCAAACAAAGGAGTGATTGAATCTAAAGATATTTATACAAAACAACAAGAAAGAATCATTGATTCACAGCAAGAAAAGATAAAAAGACTTATTTCTTCGAGAAACAACTTAAAAGAAGACATAAAACGTCTGAAAACTGAACTTGAAAAATCTTTTAAAGAAAATTCAGAACAAAAAACAAAAATTGAAGAATTAGAAAATGCAAAAAAAGAATTACAAGAAGAAAATCAAGGAATAACTGATGCTATGCGTAGATTGTTGATGCAAAGGAATAAGAAACAAGATGATGTTGATATTCTTGGTGAAAGGAATGAATTAGAAAGACAATTAATTAAAACTAAATTGGAATTACAAACAAAATGTCAAAATGTTACGTTTTTGAAGCAGAATTTGATTGAAAAAGAAAATGATATTAAAACTAAATTGGCAAGGATTGATGTATTAGAAAAGAATAATAATAAGTTAAAAGAGGATTTAAATAATTCAGAAAACGAAAAAAATCAGGAAATTGAAAAATTAAATTTAATTATTGACAAAAATCAAAAAGATATCAATGATTTATCAAATAAACTTAAGTCTTGCGAAGTGGTAATGAAGAAATCAGAGGAATTACGTGAATCTATTGAGAATTACCAAAATGAAATCCAAATTTTGACAGAAAAACTTGAAAATGAACAAAATTTTGTGAAAATACAGAATGAAAAGCTGCAAAATGACATGGAAAAACTCTCAAAATCCAAAAATGAAGTTGAAATTAAACTTGAAAATACGAAATTGAAAGAAATTGAACTTCAAAAAGAATTATTTGGTGAATACAATGAAGAAAACAATCCATTGTTGAAACTAAAACAAATGAAAAGTGAAATTGAAGAACTTCAAAATGAAATTAAATCAAAAGAAGAGTTTAACAATGTAAATCTAAGAGAAATTGATAATTTACAAGTCTCTCTAAACCAAACAAAACAGAAGTTGTTTTTAAGTGATAAAAGTAATTTGGAATTGAAACAAAACCAAGAAATTCTCAAAGAAAAAATTTCAAATTTAGAAAATCTAAATAAAGAAAATTTGGAAAAAATCAACAACCAAAAGAAAGAAATAGGAGAAATCAATACAAAACTTGGTAATGATCAAGAAATGATCAACACAAAAACACAGCAACTTTTAGATCTACAAAATAAATTTGATGATTTAGAAAATAAGGAAAAAGAAAGAAAAATTTTGTTTGAAGAAATTTCTGTGAAATACAAAGAAATAGAAACAGAAAGAGATAATCTAAAGAAAAGATTGCAAGAAGCAGATGAGTCTGAAGCAAAGAAAGATGAACAAATACAGAAACTACTGCAAGAATTAGATGAAATTAATGAAAAATTTGAAGAGAAAAATACTGAATTTTTGAATATTTCTGAAGAAAACAAAAAACTGACAAATAATTTGAATAAAACCGAAAAATCTTCTAATAAAAAAGAAGAAGCACTTAAGCAGCTGATAGAGAAACTAGAGATATCTACTAAATCTGAATCAAACAAAGAGAAAATGATAAAGAAACTGAAAATTGCTGTTGAACAACTTTCAGAAGAAAACAATGATTTACAAACAAAGCTTTCAAATCTAGAAGAAGAAAACAACTTGAATAAGAAAGAAATCAAGGAAAGTAATGATAAGAACAATAAGTTATCTACAAAACTTCAAGAATTAACAAACAAAATCAATGATTTTTCGAAAAATAATCAAATTTTGTCAGAAAAACTTGAAAAACAAAATCAGACAATACAAAACTTGAATTCTGCATTGGATAAGAAGAACTCATCAATACAGAATGTTTCTGATAACTATCAGCAGCAAATTTTGGAAAAAGAGAATTTAATTTCGGAATTAAACGAAAAAATTTCTAAAAAAGATGAAGACATAACAAACAAAGACAAGAACATCAAAGAACTTGCACAAACAATAACAATAAAAGACAATGAAATCAAAGAATTAAATGATTCCATAACAAATAATGAAAAAACAAATGAAAACTTAATAAATCAAATGAAAGAAAACAATAAAACAATAAAAATAAAAGAAGAAGAAAATAAAACTCTTAAGGAACAATTACAAAATCTTACAAATCAAAATGAAAATCAACAATTGAAATTAAATGAAAATCAAAATAAATTGAATGATTTACAAAAAATTTTGAAAGAAAAAGACGATTATGTAAATCAACTAAAAAGTGACATTGAAAATTGTAAAAAATCTAATGAAGAATTAGGAAATGTTCTTGTTAAAAGGGATCAGACTATTAATGATTATCTTGTTAATCTAAAACAAAAGGATATGAATGTGAAGCAGCTAAAGAATACTCTGAATGAAATGACTGATAAATTGCAAAATAATGGAATAAATTTGGAAAATTTGAAACAAAAAATTTCCCAAAAAGAAATTGAAAATGAAAAATTGACAAAAATCATTTCACAAATGTCAGAAAATGACAAAGAACAAGATAGTATTGTTAGAGACCTCGAGGACAGGTTCAAAAAGAAAACAAATGAAATAAATTTGTTGAAAAATGATTTGGAATTTTTGAAAAATGAAAACAAAAATTTGTCAAAAATTAAATTTGAAAATGAAGAAAAAATAGAAGAAATGAATGAAAAAATAGAAGAAAACAAAGAAAGCATGCAAAAACAAAATAGTGTTATTAATAATCTCATCAAAACAAATGAAAATGTCTTGAAACAAATGAAAAATTGTTCAAAAATTGAAGAAATTCCAATTTTTGTTTCAAATTTGACAAATAAAATTTCTGACTTTACAAATTTGACAAATCAACTTCAAAGAGTTGTAAAAGCTCAGAACAATGATGATTTGTTTAATGCAGTGAAAAATTTGGTGAAAAACAACAAAATTTTGAAAAATTTGCAAGAAATTTCTGAAAATAATGATTTAATCAAATACTTCAATGATCTAAAGGAAGAAAACAAGAAAAATATTTTAATGAAGAAAGAATTGATGTCTATTTGCAAAGTTTCTGAATCAAATCAAATTCTACCATCAGTTATTGAGTTAAACCAAGAAAAACAACAGTTGCAAGCAATGAAATCGAAATTATCTGAAATAACTTTGTCTGAAAATGGAAATGATGAAAAAATTGTTGAAAAAATTTCAAAAATTTCTCAGGAAAATGAGAATTTGCAGAAAATGAACAACCAAATTAAAGAAATCATGGATGTTGACAAAGATGATGATATAATTTGTAGTTTAAGCGATTTAAAAAAAGAAAATGAAAATTTATTAAAATTAAAATCAGAAATCAACGAAATTGTTCAAGAAACAGATGGAAATGATAATGGCATGGTTGCAAATATCAAAGGAATGAAAGAAATCATTAATTACTTAGTGGAAATGACGAAATCTGAAAATGAAACAAATTTAGTTGAAAAAATTGAAGAAATTCTTTCTGAAAATGACGAAAAATCTGAAAATCTAAAAGAAATTTCTGAAAAATTGCAAAATGAAACTGAAAAATATAAGAATCTACATGAGGAATTGATGGAAATAGTGCCTGATAATGGTTCAGATGATGAAATAATCAAAGAAATGAAAGAAAATCAAAAGATTTTGCAAAATATTTCCAAAATTATGCCTAAAAACAGTGATTTAGTAGAAGAAATACAGAAATTACAAGAGATCTATAAATTATTAACTGTAGAAAACAAAGAAATGAAAGAAAAAGAAAAAATTTTATCAAAAATTTCTGAAATTCTTCCAGATAACAGTGATATTGTATCAGAAATCAAAGATTTACATGATAAATGTGTATATCTTAAAGCAGAAAACGAAGAAATGACAGAAAAACAAAAGATTTTGGAAAATATTTCGAAAATTCTTCCAGAAAACAATGATTTATTAGAAGAAATACAAGATTTGCAAGAGAAATGTCATTATCTAACAGAAGGAATCAAAGAAACCTTCAATATCGAGAAGAATTACGATGATATCGAAGGATTGTTGAATTTTGTCAAAGAAGAGAAAGAGAAATATGATAATTTGGAGAAGAAAGTGTTCGAGAAAGTGCCTGAGTTCGAAGGAGAGACAGTAGAAAGCGCAATCTCCGAAATGTTCAATTATATCGAGAAAACAAAACAAAACGAAGAAAAAATCCGAAAAGAGTTTTGTGTCTCGAACGATAAAGAAATTTTCAATGAATTGAAGAGAATTAAAGAATTAAACGAGAAAAACGCGAATGACGCGATCAAACTCACATCGGACATGTTGATTACCATCACAGGACAACAACAATTCGCTTCTTTGGTTAAATTCCCAATACAAGAGAGTATTTCTACAAAATTAGTTGAAATTTTCGCCGATTTCAAGCGGAAATTCGATAATAACAAGGATAATATAACACTTGTTATAGAGAGAGCAAGATTACTATCATATGCCGGTGATATTTTGTCTGAAGCTGTAGATACAATTGTAAATCAGTCTGTTTCTGAAAAAGAACAGGAAATGATGCTGCAAATGGCAAATGAGATGACAGAATTCAAGAAAATACAGGATAAAGAGCACCAATTGTTTGAAAAAACAAAGAAATCTCTGAATGACAAAATAAATGAGCTGAGAGATTTGATTTCTGAAATAAATGAGAACTCTATAAAGAAACAATCAGATCTCATTGCAGAAATCGATGATTTGAAGAAAAAAAATCGATCAAATGAAGATTCTATCAGTAAACTCCTCAAAATTAAGGAAGAACTCATAAGACTGAAGTCTGGAATTGCTTGCGATACTGAATATTTAAAGAAAAACTTGAGTCCTAATGAACTCAAAAATCTCAAAATGATGTAATTGTATTTGTTATGTTTTTGTAGTATAAAAGTTTATTGTAAAGTAATATTTAATGTTATTTATAGGATATTGACATTTCAATGGATAATTTCTTAATTTCTATTTTTATTGACTTATTTCTGGTACTTTATCTTAAGTTCTTACATAAAATTCTTCTCTACTATATGATTGGCGCAATATTTCTTTTCAATACTTAAGTTTTTAAACTCATTGCAATCAATATTTGTATCCTTAAAAAAATCTGTTATTAGCTACCAAAATATGCTTATTTTTATGATATTCGGAATGCTCATTTTATGAACAATCAATATTCTCAATATCAGAGTTATTTTGTTTTTCTCATCTTTATGAGACAGGAGAACTACAAAATTTCACCGAAAAACGATTGACTTTAAGTGTTTTATGTTCTCAATACTTATGTCTGCAATTGAACAATCATTTGATTGCATACTCAACACATTTAAAACCAAATACTTTTCAAGTTGTTATCCAATTGCTTCCTGTGAAATGATAATAACTTGTTGTCATGTTTGTATTCAAACTACAAAGATTATTTACTTGTTATTCTAAGTCAATCAAAGTTTTTCTAGAAACATCTGACTCCATATCGTATAATTCTAGAAGGATTTATTCAGAAGGAAGTGAAACTTGATCATAAAATAAATGAGAAATAGGAAGATTTGGAATGAAAAATGTATCTTTATGTTTAATTGGAGGATCACATAAAAGAGTAGAATACAAATTAGAAATATTGAGTTTTCTCATTAACGTTGGAGATATAGTTTTCTCATTCACTATGAATTCATTATCTGATTCAAAATGACATTCACTGACTATTGCAGATCCTTGAAATGCATAAAATAAATAAGAAGCTTTGTTTCCTTTGAAGAAACTGTTATTTATTGATAGCGAAACATCATAAGAGAGGGAGAAAATTCCTCGTTCATTTTCTAGATCTTTGTTATTAACAATATTACAAAAATAGTAATTATGCTTGTTTAACCCATGCCAAAAGCAACATATTCTATTTGCTAAAAGATTTTCGAAATTACTAAAATTTGTTATTGAAATAGATGCAGGACTATCGCTAACTAATGCTGCATTTGCATCTAGATTTGAATTAGATACATTTATTGATGAAAAAAGATGAAATCCATGTGCATGAGATAAAATACCAAAACAAGCTGTGTTGTGTGTAAATGATGATTCAATTGCAAAATTCATGTGGCCATCAGCATTTGCCACATCAATTCTTGAGTGAGATCCTACTCCATATGTAGCTGTTGACTTAGATTCATAACTACAGACTTTGTATTGAACAAATGATCCTTGTGATAAATAATATATTGATCCTCCATTATCTGTGGAGGAAATGTTATAAAAAGATGATATTGAAACAAGAGCTTTTGTATCTGCAGTTGGATTAGATATCCAAATAGCACCAAGTGGGCTAAGGTTTTTGAAAAGAACGTAATCAACAAAGACGTTTTTGTCTCCAGTGACTCTTCGACTTGTGTTAACAACTGTGTCAATAGTGGTATTACCATAGAACCTATCCCATATATCGTATGAAGGTCCTGAAAAATGATAACTTTGCTCTCTACCCGAGAAATGAAAACTTTGTCACATAATTTAACAAAATTTTTCATCTCTTTCAATTGAAATTTCGGATAACTGTAGTATCGAAAACCGACAATCTGTTAGTATAAAGTATGGTGCTTATCTTGGATAAAATGAATTTATATATTTCAAGAATAGATCTCGCAAAAAATTTACTTTACATCTTCATAAAATTATTTTTATAAAATATATGATTATATGAAATGTAGAATAATATGTATATCGATATGGTCTAAAATTTTGTGAGTGAATTCAAATAAATTGAGGGAACCCTTTGAAATAAACGATCACCTGATTTTTTGGTGATAATTAATACTTATATGAAAGAACTCGTATTAAATTTCTTCATTTCTACATATGAAGTAAATATTAAATATCAAATATAAATTTGAAACAAAAAATTACTGTTTTTTACACTCGAATTCTTGGACATAATTGGGATTCACAACATGTTCTCAAATAACTCAGAAATGATACTGATATAACATAAGATTACAATCTTAAATTTTATTTGTCAATTATGAAAAGGAAGATGAAGAAGAATGAATACTTTGTAGAATAGAATATATGTGGACATGAAAGTTTTGGAGATATTTTAGTAATCCGTAAATAGCCATCATTTGGATTTCCTGCAGAATTAATTCCATTTGGTAAATCAAAATATTGGTTCCCTGCTAATATTTTGGTATTATAAAATGATGCAATGGAGTTTAAATCGCATTCTGGATGGCCAGATATATAAGAACTTCCACCACTTCCAGAGACATCACTGTTATCTCCTATTGCTTTGTAGTCATGCCGCCCATGTATCCGCCTCCACAGCCAGGATTTCCTTCATCTCCACATAATCCGCCTTGAGAATTTCTGCCATCTTGGCCCACACCATTTTGAGTACCCAATTTCTGGGTTCCCCCTTGACAAACTAAATTTTTATTGAGGGACCCGCCATTTCCGGCTACAAGGCCACCGCCATAGCCAGGAGGTGTAGTACATCCACCATATAAATTTTCCCCTCCCCCACCACTTACCATGATGCGAGAGGGTAAGTTTTGAGTGTCATAATAAATTATCGTCGCACCTCCTCCTCCAGCGCCAGAAAAATGCGTAGGAACGGAAGGCTTTCCTCCTTTCCCACCAGCGCCGCAGCCGCCTGGAGGATTTGTCATTGCTTTAACAGGCGGTTGACCTCGACTTCCAATTAACGCATAAAATCGAGTTTGCTTTGTAAGTTTTATTACACCAGATGTATACCCACCCTTGCCAACAAATCTTTCATCGTTTGTTCCTCCTGCTGCTCCCCATGCTTCGAATAAGTACTATCCCGGCGTTAAATATATTTCAATATGGCTACAGACGCCTGTATATGAAAAATTTAATGTCATTTAAAATGATTTCTGGTCGAAATTAAACTTTTATATTTCAATTATAGCCTAAAAAGATTCAATTGCCATTTTAAAGTTGAACACTTGACCAAATATGAATGATTTTATAGTAGTTTTGAAACTAAACTCAGTATGGATACTTTGAGAAAATTCAATTCGAATCATTTGGAAGTATTTGTGGCAACATCTGTATTTTTGAGCCGAGTATATTTCAAACATTCTTTACCTGTCTTTAACTTTAATCAGAATCTGAATGCGAATTTCCTTCATTTAAAATTATTTCATAAGATTGAACACTTGATAAAATGTGTTCCATATATTCTGAGATGAGATCAATTTTCAATTAAATATGGTTGCGTTATGATATATTTATTAATAACAGTTAATTATAGATCTCAAAGTGATGAGATTATGTTGAAGTTATAAGCTCAAAAAAATATGAAATTATTTACGAGTCAATTATAAATATGAAAATGAAGAAGAATGAGTATTTGGTAGAATATAATATATTTTGACATGATGGCTTAGGAATTAAATGAGTAATTCGAAGATGTCCATGATGTGGATTTCCTAATGACTTTGTTCCATTGGGTAAATCAAAATATTCGTTTCCTGCTAATATTTTAGTATTGAAGAACGAAGCCATTGAATTCGGTTCACATTGTGGATCACCTGAAACGTAGGAGCTTCCACCGCTTCCAGAGACATCACTGAAATCTCCTATTCCTGTTGTTGTCATGCCACCTCTATATCCCCCACTACAACCAGGGTTTCCTTCTGCACCACAATATCGATCACCTCCAGAATTTTTGCCATTTTGGCCCACTCCACTTTCAGTGCCAAAATTCTGAGAACCGCCGGTAGAAATCAAACTGATTAAGTTTGACCCATTTCCAGCTACAACACCACCACCATAGCCAGGTATTAAAAAACATCTGTTACTAGATCCACCACCTCCCCCACCACTTACCATTATTCTAGAGGCTAAATTTTCAGTGTCATAATATATTATTGTCGCACCTCCACCGCCGGCGCCAGAAAAGTATGTGGAACTGTATGGCATTCCGCCTTTCCCGCCACCGCCGCAGCCCCCTGAAGGACTAATCATGGCTCTGACGGGTGGTTGGCCTTGACTACCAATAATTGCATAGAATCGAGTTTGTTTTGTAAGTTTAATTACGCCGGAAGTATACCCGCCTTTACCAACAAAACTTTCGTTTTCTGTTCCACCCGCGGCACCCCAAGCTTCGAATAAGTACCTTCCAGGTAATAAATGTATTTGAACAGGGTCACAATTCCCTATATATGGAAAATTTAGTGTCATATGAGCTTAGTTTGCTTATTTTGATTTGAATTAAGAAGATTTTATTTGATAATAATCAAATGATGAAGCAGGAATTAATTACCATGAAATTTTTGTAATATATTAATAGTGGGATTAATGTTTTGAAAAATTCGAGAAGAAATGAAAATGTCTCTAATGTTATTTTTGGTATATGGGTATCATATTGGATTTCATATGAGTGCATATCTAATGGTTGGAAAAATTCAAGTCATTTTGTTTCTGGGGAAACAAGAAATGAAAGACGAAACACCAATAATAAATTTTCAGAGCATCTGAAAAATTGAACTAATTTTACAGATCCAAAATTTACTTAGTGATATTTGATGAAGTAAGATAAATTAAAATAAAATTTTATTTTCAAAGAACCTCAAAAATTCATATTTTAAAATTTCAAAGCTTCTGAAAATTGAATGTATTTTACAGATCCAAAAGTAATTGACTGGCAATTGATGATGTGAGATAAATTGCAATGAAATTTTATTTTCAAAATACCTCAAAAAATTTGTATTAATTTCGATTTCAGTTTAAACCTAGCCAATAGTTGTTGGTGAAACTTATATTGATAACGATCGTGTCTTATTTGCGACCGATCGTAGGGTTGACGTTGTTCTCAAGCAAGCATGTGAAGAAATCTATGGCGACTCTTCTAAAGGAAATTATGCTTTCAAAGGAAGCACGAATACTCTTTTATCCATACAATTACCACAAGGATCGATGCTCAAAACCATCGGTGACTCTGCATTCAGTGGTTGTTCAAAACTTTCTTCGGTTGACTTCACAAACTGTGAACTGTTGCATGCTAAGTTCGGTCAAAATGTAAACCTCTCAATTTTATTGTCGGGGAAAGTAACTCAATTCCTTCAAAATTATTCTTTAAATATTGAATTTAAAGTTATTTAATTTGGATTATAAATAAATAGGCTAATACAATAAAAAAAAAAAAAAAAAAAAAAAAAAAAAAAAGGTAGTGGGGCTTCCAGGGGCTGCGCCCCTTCTAGCCCCGAAGATGTTTAGTAAAAAATGAGGTTTTTATTCGGAAAATTGTTAGTCTTCTGGTGTGAATTCGGAGGACTCTTCTTGGATAGAGTCTTGTGTTTCCTCCTCCTCTTCTTCTTCCTCCATTGCTTCTGGGAAGAAGCCTTCTTCTGGGTCGAAAACATTATATAATGTGTAATTGAATGACACATTATATCTTTGTTTGAGTTCGCTCTTGACAAAGAACTTAGTTCCAGGAATACAGAAGACTTCTGTGCGTTGGAAAAGCTGATGTCCTGGAACAAATTTGGCAATTAGAGACTTCTTTTTTCCGAATTGTTCAGGAGTTTCCATGACGACAGTAACAACATCTCCATCTGCGAGGTCTTGTTGTTGTTCGGAAAGGTAAAGAGCAATGATATAAATGGTTGCTGCGTTGAATTCGAGAAAGTCGAATTCAAATTGTGTAGTCGTATAGCAGTCAAACCATTTTGTACAATTGTCTCCGAACTCGTCAATGTATTCATCTTGGTCATATCCGTAACTAAAGACTTGGAATTCGGCAATTGTCTTGTCGAATGACCGTTGGATGTTACGAGGAAGATTTTGACGAACTTGGTATAAAGTTCTCAACATTATAAGCTTAGTAAATGTTGGAAAATACTGAACTAAGACATCGCTAAGCTCAATTGGACTTGGAATTGTCTTAGTAAGTTCAATTGAACTAGCAATTGCTTTGTTCAGAACTTCACAGAACTGAGTATTGTATATAGCGTCTGGTTGTGTGTTTTCTTCGGCGTCTTTGAGATATTTAGAGCAAATTTGTTGAAGAATTTCTCTTAATTCGCTGTTAGACTTTTTGGCGGTTATTCTAACAGCTGTGCCAGTTCTTGGAGGTTGTGGGGCTTTGGCTTTGGTTAGCGGTTGAGAATTGTTAATGTTGGCTTCCATTAGACAAAAATAAACTGTTTTTTTCGGACTACTCATAGAAAAGTTTAAAATAAACCGTTTTCGTCAACGGTAACCCCCTCTATTTTTTTATTTTATTGAAAAGTCTCCGTTGGCAAACCGTTCCATCTCAAATATTGAATGAACTATAAACGTTTTTTGTTTTCTATATATACTTTTTTGTCCAACGGTAAAACTTTTTACACAACGGTTTTTGAGAGTCGTCGCCGTTGACTTTTTTGTAGAGCACTCAAAATAGTATAACTTTGTCCGGACAAGTAAGGGTCTATCGTCGCTACAGGAAAAGTTACAGGCGTTCCAAGGAAGTATACTTTGAGAAGACTTTCCCCCTTATAGAATGAGATAGGACGGTTATTTTACAAAACTGACAACACTTTGACCGAGTAGTTTTTTGTGCTGAACAAAAAGTGTCATATAAACATCTGTCAAAAACCGCTTTTTAACTTCACTTAAAATGCCACGTAAGCTACGTAAGAATATACGTAAGAGGAAGAGAGCATTGAAACATCCAATAGTAAGACTAACACCACAACAACAGTTGCAACAACAAATGCTGAATGACCCCACTATGTTGCAACAAATGTCAAGCAATCCTATGCTTTTAAACCGAGTTGTTGGTGCACAGAGTGGAGGTTTAAGAGCGGCACTTTTAGCGAAAATGGCAGGCTATGGTGGAGCTGCAGACGGAACAGCCTATAACCCTCAAAGTCAAATGAATTTGAGTTCACTCAAAAATCAAATAACAGATGTCAAAAAGTCAAACATAGACATACAGAAACAAATAAGTGAAAACGAAAAGAAACTAGAATATGACAGACACACAAAGAAACTCAATGAGTTAAACGTAGAGAAAAAGAAGAAAGAAGAACAACTGAAAGAACTAAGTACAGAGGAATATGCGAAAAAAGTGTCAGAAAAAGCAGCAGAAGTAGCAAAAATGGAACAAGATGTCATAAATTTGAAAAACCATACTACTCGATATAAAGTACTGAAAGATGAAGAAATAAAACAAAAAGCCCTGAAGACATATATGGATAGCGATGAGTATAAAAAAGAAGTTGAAGCAAATGTAAAGGCAGAAAAACTTTTACAGTTGCAAAACCAAACCGTACAGTATGAAAACTTAGCACAAGAAAGTAAAAATAACGACGCGGCTATGCAAAAGGCAATGAAAAGCGCAGAATATATAAAAGCTAACAATGACTGGTTAGATGCCCAAGCCAACGCTAAAGCAGCCCAACTCATAGGGTCAATAAGGACAAAAATACAAGCGGATGAAGACAGTTCAAATGAAGCTTTAACGAATGCTGACTTTAAGAACGCCTTCGAAGCTCTTCATAGTAAGGTGAAACAAGTGAACGACTTCTCATCTGGAAAGAAACTGAAGTCTGAAGGTTTCGACAAAGAGTTAAAAGAAGTAGCACAAAATATGACGAAAATAACAGATGCAGCAACGAGACATGCAGTTCAAAGTGCCTATGACGCCGTTAGAGCAACTGTTGTGGAAAGTCAAGAAAAAGAGTTACAACAGACCAAAACAGACCTAGTAAATGCTTTCTTAAAAACGAAAAGTCAGGTAGGACATTATGCTGCAGATGGAACATATGTGCCAGCTGGTGGAACTTATATACCACCAAACCCTCCAAGAGAAGCACCTGCACCAGGACTACCTAGAACATTTACATCGTCACATGGACACAGACACAGGCATGCACCAAAACCAACACAACAACCAACACAACAACCAACACAACAACCAGCACAGCAACCAACAGTTCAAAACCCTGCACAACAACAACCACAAACAGAGCAAGGACATAAAAGAAGTAGAGAACAAGGAAACCAAGAATTCTTAAAAATGCTTAAAGAAGAGTGTGGTTTCCCAGATACTGTTGACTTTAGTGACAGATATAAAGAAGCTATTGGAAAGTTCAAGGATGGAAATACTGACCCGAACCTATTTAGCTTTATGGCTCAGCACCAAAACGGATATAATCTCAAACCTGGAAAATACAAGCTCGCTAAGGGATATGATTTAATAGCATATCATCCAAATGACATGGATGAATTTACTCCGAGATATTTGATGTCAGAGCTAAATGACAATTCAACTTTCGTCATGAAACGCGTAAAAAATAGAGACGGAACGAAAGAACAAAAGCTTATGAATGCGGATGACGTAGATAGGGAAATTGTTAAAAACGGTCTCGGAATATATGAAATGCCAGCAGATGAGGTACAAGAAACTCCACAGGAAGAATAGTTCAGATACAACCAGACATGGAAGAAATAGTTCAGCAACAACAGCTAGAAGAGCCTGAAGGAAACGAACAAGTCACTCCTTTGGAAACTAACTTCACAGAACTAGATGAAGATTTGGAACAGCCGAAAAATCTTGACCCTCAACAAGAGTATGCGGAGAATATGGAATATTTCCAAGAGTCTAAAAAAAATTCGGCTGACATAGTAGAAGAATATCGAAAAATGTTTGCCGACATACAAAAGACTCCAACACCAGATGAAAATATTCAGCATAGAATGGAAGAACTGAAAAAAAATGTACACAAATACAACAACCCTTTTTACTTACGAGCATTTAACGTTCAATCTTCGGATGAACTCGGTGAAAATAAAAGGTTAAATTTCAAGAAAACATATAGAAATGAAACATTGTTTAAAGTTCATTCAGAACCTAACCAAGATGGAAACAAACCTACTTTTGTTTCTGCAGACGATGGAACTACAATGAGATGGGGTCATAAAGCTAACCCGGATAGGTGGTTCATAAACTTACAACCACAATTCCAAGAAGTTGTAGACGCAATGGAAGTGAATGGTGAACCAGATATAGCTGGTATTTTCAGCGCGGCTTTAATGCCATTGAAAGATATGAAAGATGCAGATATTTTGGACCAGTATGAAATGAACATGGCTGATGGAAATATAACACCTGACGTTCTAGAACATTTATCTCAAAGAACTACACAGAACCATAGAGATGGTATATTTGGTGAAGAGTTTAGAAAGAAAGTTAGGGAGACAGAAGGAAGAGAACCTATTGTACATGACCTTGCAAACGAAAGTTTACAAAATGTCATAAAAACTTACTTTGCAGACAATGAACGAGAAGGGATGAATATTTAAGAAAACTCAAATGGACAGTACCAAATGAAATGTTAGTATTGAAAAACATGTTCCTTGACAAAATAAAACCAACTACAGAAATAAACGACGCAAGACTGAAAGATTGGGTAAAAGCTTTCCCATTCACAAAAGATATAGTTGGTAACATGGAAAGAAAACCAGAATGGCTACAAAAACATATATTTGGAAACGAGCTTATTCCATATGGACAGGCACTGTTTGAAGAGCTTGAACCAGAAACTCAGGAAAGAGTCATGCAAACAATACGCGAAGACTCAAATACAGACTATGACAAACTCTTTCTAGGATATAGGTTACCTGAGATGGGCGACCAGAGCCAAAAGGCAAAAAGGACATGGGAAATTTGCAACATACTAGATGAACATAATGCAAAGATGCAACAACTTCAAGCAGAGGGCAATGAAGGAAAAAGAAGAGTTAAAAACTCAGTCAGGAAGAAAGTAAAGCTTGGTCCACGTGGGTTCTATTATGACATATAAATCCAACTATTCTATATTTTTACTCATATGAAATGTACGCCGCTCAGAATATAACGCCAACAGTTTTGGATGCTATGAATGGAAATGTTTCCGAATGGTATAACGAATGCGACAATGCCATTAGAAGGTCAGAAATAGTTCCTGGAACTTACGAATATACAACTGCTGTTTCTTATGGAAACGTAGGTGAGTTTGGAGAAGGTTCTTCAACAACAGTAGATATTGCTTGCGACAGGTTTCATTATTTCTATTGACAACTCTTCTTATACGTGGAACAAGACATTGAAATAAAACCTTCTGCCAAGTTGTCTGACAAGAAAGGTTGCAATGGAATTTTCTATGTCGGATACCAATATGCTCCAGAAGTTTTCATGGGATATAAGATATATTCTAACTCTGACTTAGTTCAAACAGTAACATGGGCAAACTATGAATGGTTCGCTTTGAGAAACTCAGTACAACCACAAGCTAGAGAACAAACAGACCAGTATGCAACTATTGAGAAAATAAGAAGACTTGACCCTAACGTTCCAGGAGTTTATGTTAACCTTTCTGGACAAACTGCAGCAGCAGTAACCAAAGTAAAACTGAAACTTAGAGTTCCTTTGTCATCTTTCCTCATCTTCAGGTTTTTAAGATACTTGCCAAACTGGGCAGGAAAAATTTCTATCGAACTTACTCCAAGCAAAAATAACTTAGTCATTGCACCAACACAAGACCCATTCACTCTTACAGAAGTAGTGGGAACAAATAAAATGTCATTCGCCGACTTTTGCAAAAACAAAGTTGACTTAGACTTTGGTTTCTCAAACCTCAACACTGAAGTAAACTATTATTTCAATGCTGCTGGAGATGCTTGGGACCCAGTTAAGTTCACATGCGAAAAATTTGAATGCAAGAGAATAGAAAGCAGACTTGCAGTCTATATGTTGGACCCAGATATTTCAAATGCTTTAGCTGCCAAATATATTGCAGTTCCACTTATGTTCCCTATACACCAAATATCTGTCAAAGACTTTGCAGGTGAAGTTGGAAACCAAAGTGCTGACCCAGGTGCAAGAACAGATATTGCTTTAACAACTGCAATGAAACATGCAGATACTATGTTTGTACTGTTCAGACGAACTATAAATGACTATTCTTGTTTCTACAACCCTGGTATTAAATATCATATAAACATAGATGGCAAATATTATCCAAGAGAAGAATATTCTACAGTTGAGGATATGAGGTCATACAACTTGACATTAGATGCTATGAACTTTAACAACAACTTCACAACAACCATTAACCCTGAAATGCAAAGTTCTATTATGCCATATGTGAAAGTATGGACTCATACAGGAGTCAAAAAACTCAATATACAAATGGAGACCGTTCAAACTTTTGGCTTGGCATTCCATTTGCTGACTCAGAAGACTTTATGGGTGGTATTTCAACTGTTGGTACAGTCAAATACAATATACTGGTGACAGAGACGGTCCAGATGAATTGAAAGCAAAGAAGTTTACAAAACCAATAGCACTTTTCACGGAAGATGCTCTTTTGAAGATTCGTTCGATGAAACCTGCTGGGGCTCCTCAGATTGGCATAACGACAGCTTCCATCGAGCAGATTTTGGCAGCAGGTCAGTAAGTTGTTCTTGAACTGACTTCTCTCCGTCAAATATTGACAGTACGCCAGTTTTGACATAATATTGTATTATAAACTTACCTTTAGAAATATCGGTCAGTTTTGTTGTTATATTTTTGTCTGCTTCAAGAACTTTCACCATCTCAGTTATACCAACTTTCTTTGCTTTATGGAAATATTTTGGTTCAGCAAAGACTGCTATTCTATAACATTTTCCATTGTTTGTATAAAGAACTATTCTGTCAATGTATTTGTATTGTTTGTGTGTGTAAACTTTGTTCTGCTTCAATTCGAAGAGATACTCAAATACGTCCATCTTTTTATTCTAAGTAAAATGTCATTTCCGAAAAATAGAAGCGTAAGTGTTTCAAAAGGTTTAATGGCGGTGGCAGATGTGAAGTTAAATTCACCAACTCAAACAAACAGTCAAAGTGTTGTTGTCAATGTCAAAGAAAGAGATGTTGAAGTGGGGAAACCATACGAAGACGAAGATGGTATAACAATAGTTCCTGTAAAAGAACAACCAACATATCCTGAAGTTAGCAGAGACTTAAGTTCTGTTGCAGATATTCGAAACGACTACCAACAACTTAAAGACAAACTTAAAACTCAGGAGAAGATTTGTCAAGCTTTAGGTATAATGTTAAACTTGGTCGAACACAACCCTGTAAAAGTGAACTCATATGTCATGCACCTCATGAAGTTTTGAAAGAACTATTGAAACTTTTGACAGAGGCAGACGATATAAACATCAAAGAAATAGAACCCGACATTAGTTGCTGTGGTGTTTCATATAATGTCATTGACAAGATATACGTTATGAAAGGAGGTGAAACGTTGAACTTAAAATATAGTTTCCCAGACGTCATAAAAATATTTGACGACCACAACATTTCATTAAAATTTATTTGCTAAGTAAATGGCAGAAGACATAATGGTTTATACTATTACGACTAAAAACCCTGAGTCATATAATTCTATAACAACAAACTTACAAAGTCCTCAAGGACGATATTGTAAACTAACCTTAAACACAATGACGACTAAAGCCTGTTTTGCTCTTTTGACACCAGAAGACTTTATTGTTGTGAATGGTAAAAAATACTCTTTGAAGATACTTACTCAGATATACCACCAACAGGTTTTGTTGACTTATTTAATACTTTAAGGACGGATGTAACATGTGCTGCAACTAGAGCAGGTTTCATTATGTTTGGATGTCCGACTGAGTTTACTATAAACGATATGAGCTATAATACAAAACTTATTCTGGTTTTTACTACCAACAGTTTCCTATAACAGGAAAAGGTGTCATACAAGGAATGTCTATTCCATTGACTTTAAGCACACCAATTTATATATTGTTTCAAACTTAGGTTCAAAGTGTTATTCGAATGTCGACAGAAACTATTATGACCAAAAGATACTTATGCGTATAAACAATACTTTCTCTGCTGGTTTGCCTATTGTTCATTCGAATGCAGATTTTCAGCTTTAGTAAACTCAAACACTTTAGCAAACATAAACTTAACCTTAGTTGACGCAAACTTTGTTCCTGTAAAACTTTTATGTCCTATGTATTTGTCAATGACGGCAGAAAGTTTCGAATTGGAAGATGCAACTGGTGAAAGTATTGTACTACAAGAACAACTTCAACAACAAATAGCTCAAGAACAACAAATGCAACAAATGCAAGAACAACAAAGTCAAGAATAAAAAAAATATTTTTTTTATTTTTATAAAAATGTACAGAATAGATGTTTCAGATTTTTATGACTTCCAAGCTTCAGAAATATGTGTCCATTTAGAGACTATAACAAAGCAGTCGAGAATTTGAAACGTTTAGTCATTTATGTCGACTCTGCCCCAGAATGTTATGTCATGAAAGAATGGGATGTTGTCTTTAACAAACCAAGAGCAACCATAGTTTCAGAACAAGAATGTAGACAGAAACTTAAGAAAATAAAAGTTGTACAAGTTGGAATGAAGATGTTAGATGCTTGGGATATCTTATTGTCAAAGTTAGAAGATTTTTCAGTTCGTGGTATAAAGTTCTATACACCATCTCCAAACTTCTATTCTATCTTCACTGGATATAAATATGAACAAGTAGAATGGAAAGAAAATATATAGAAGCTTGGTTAGACCATGTCAAAGAAATTATATGCAATGGAAACGAAAGAGTCTATGAGTATATCTTATGTTGGTTTGCAAACATCTTACAACATCCAAGTGCTAAAAATGAAACTGCTCTCATTATAATTGGAAAACAAGGAACTGGTAAGAACACTTTCTTTACAGATATTTTGTGCAAACTGTTAGGCTATTCGAACCCGAATATGACAAACTTAGAAAACATCTGCGGTAAATTTAACTCCTCAATAGAGAATATGAAACTTATAGTTGCAATGAACTTCAAAGTATAGATACAACAAAAGTTTTGAACTCAGATGCTTTGAAGAGTCTTATAACAGACAAAGTTGGAGTTGTTGAAAGAAAATATAAAGACCAAAGAGTTTGTGAAAATGTTGCAAACTTCATTATGGTTTCAAACAATGTTGTTCCGATGAAGTTAGAAAGTTCTGACAGAAGATATGTAGTTGTCAGAACGTCAGATTCTCATATGCAAGATACAGAATATTTTGACGACTTAGCAGAAACTTTGACACCTAACTTTTACAACCACTTGTTCTCATATTTCATGACATTAGATATTTCAAAGTTCAATCCAAGACAAATTCCATATACCGAAGAGAGACAAACATTGTTAGAAGCAAACAAGAGTGTATATGAACTGTTTATAGATGAGACTAACTTTGAGTGTTTAGATGAAAGGTCATTGTACGATTCATATAAACAGTATTGTCAAGAGTATGGTTATATGGCAGCGTCTAAACGAACATTCTTGGCAAATGTCAAAAATCTTTTAGATATACAGAACGGCGTATATACAAAGAAAAATTTTTCTGAGTAAATTTAAAAAAAAATCTTTTTTTATCCGATAGAAAAGATGGCAAAATTCATCTCAGTAAACAAGTACATGACAGAAGTCAAAGAAGAACTAGACCCATTCGCTTATTTGAATGTTTACTTCTACCATTTTGAAAAGTCTTCATTTGACAAAGTTTGGAACATCGAACCAGTTAAGTTTGCTATTGTGACTAAAAATGGTGCGAAATTTGAAGACTTAGACATAGAAGGTTTGTTAGCAGTCAAAGAAAATTTTGACAGAAGGTTTTCAAACCTTAAAGAAGGCAAAGCATACAAACTTGTTATACCTTATGAACCAAAGAAAGCAGACGACTATGAATATTATGAGTCTAAGATAGTTGAAGTTCAAGGTAAATTGGGTAAAAAGATTTTAGAGTCTAAGCCAGTGTTTGCTCCTAAAGAGGAAGAGAACATTGACATTGACCCAGAAATGTTCTAAAAATAAAATTTTATTTTTACATGTCAAATTTCTTTTTCTCTGGAACTGGTTCAGGTTCTTTCTTCTCTTCTACTTTCTTTTCTTTACTTCTTTCTTTTTCTTTCTCTTTCTTCTTCTTCTCTGGTGGAGTTATGTCAAATTTCGAACCATATTTATGTAAAAGTTCTTTGTCCTTTAATAGCTCTTCTATTCTGTTTTCTATTTCATCTTCAAGAACAGCGCATGTGTCTTCTTTGCATTCTAAGAACTTTTGTTGGACTTCATCTCCAAGGCGTCATCTCTGTCAACAAGTCTGTCATTGACAAACTTAAAGACTTCTCTCTAATGTTTTATGGTTCTTGTCATATTCCCAGAAACAGAACTTTAGAACAAATTCACCTTTCTTGTTTACACTATGTAAGATTTTATGGTCGACAGAGTTTTAGAGTCAAAAAGCTTGTCTCGAATATAGATAGCGAAATCGCTAGACATTTTCTAAAAGATAAAAATTTTAATTTTTCTAAAAATATGTTAGAAAAAAAGTTTGCTGACATTGACAAAAATTTGAGAATGTTTTAAACAAGAACAAGAGGAAGTTAGAAAATGCTCAGATAAAGCCTATACATGACAAGTTCTTATTTGCTCAGAATGGTATAACAGGTCTAATTGCACCACCTGGGTCGGGTAAGACTTTCACTTATCTTAAAATGGCTGCACAACAACAAGAACTAGATGAGAAGAACCCATTTTATGAGTTAGTTGTCATTTGTAGTACTTCTGGTCAATTTGACCAAACCGTCAATTCGTTCAAAGATATTATAAAGAAGTCTAAGTTAGTATGTATAAAAGACTCTGAGTTGTTGGATTGGATAAAGAAGTACCAAAGAAGAGTTTTGAAGTATAATGCTATAAATGAGTATATAAATTCTAAGTTTAAAGACCCAAATGAGGAAATGCAGAGAATATTAGAGAAGAAACACTTCAGAAACAAACAGAAAGAGATAGAATACATTTCGAAGAAATTGCAATCTTACGATTGGAAGACATACCCTCATAGGTGTCTTCTTATCTTAGATGACTTTGCTTCTCATCCTTTGCTTAAGAATAGAGAACAAGATATGTGTCGAATTCTTAAGAAGCTCAGACACTTTAACATCTCAGTTGTCATTTGTGTACAGACAGCAAAGAGTTTAAGTAAGGATGTTAAAAGAATACTTACTGACATTGTACTTTTCCCTGGATTGTCCGAAGACGATTTCATGGAACTTATGAAAGAGTCCATGGCAGGTAAGTTTGACAGACATGAACTATGGGAGAAGTACAAAGTCATACAAGACCCTCATACTTCTTTCAGAATTCATATCTACGCGAACAAAGTTCAAATTGTAAAAAGTCAAGCTTGAAAAATAAAGAGTTTTGGCTACCCCTGTAAAAGTCGGTCTAGAGAAATTTCATGAAATTTGGTCATTTTTCAGCAAAAATATATTTTAGGTGAAGAGGTGAGATTTCACCTCTTTTTTCACCTGTTTTTTCACCTCAGTTATTTTATAAGCGTTTCACATGGTAAACGTTATTTTTTAAATTTTGTGAAAACTCAACGGTTTGACACAAGCCCTAAAAATTATTTTACTCAGAATTTTGTTGCTGAATTCAATAAAAATATATTTTAGGTGAAGAGGTGAGATTTCACCTCTTTTTTCACCTCTTTTTTCACCTGTTATTTTATAAGCGTTTTACATGAATTGTATGATGTATATTTGAAATCCTAAACAATTTCGTAGCTTCTATTTCTTCGCTGAGGATATCGAATGTTTTAACGATACCGAAAGTTTCTTTATACTTCTTCTTGACGTCAGATAATAGGAAATCTTCTGCTGTTGGATAGTTTTTGTTCAGAAATGCTAACATATCCATTTTATTTTCTGCTGGTTTTTCTGCTTCTTTCTTTAAGTCTGCATAGTCGTTTCGCATTCTTTCTATCTCTTTGACGGAGTAGTTATATTTCCTAATTGCTGCTTTACATTTAGAACATTGTGGGTTCATTTTTGCGTTATATTCTGAAACCTTACCTGCTAAAACAACTAAGGCGTCAATTGCTCTCTTCATCTCGAACATAGCGGGTCTTATTTGTTCGTTCCATACCTTACCCCTACTATCTTTATCTCTTATTTCCCAAACACATTTTGCAACTAATGAAACAAAGTTGTCGTAGGTCTTAAATTCTTCAGATTTGTAAAGGTCAGAGATGTTCTTATATAACATGTCGCAATCTTTGTCCATAACCTTATGGTTGCAATGAAAACCAAGGAATTCATAGTTTACCTTTCGTATGAACTTCTTTATTTCTACTGAGTCAGTTGGTTTCACTTCAATTTCGTCAAATTCGGGAATGGTTAGTTTTTGTTGTTGGATTTCAGGCAATTTGGGTAAATGGTCAATAATGTCCTGCATTTCATAAAGATACTGTTCATTTGTTTCATCTTTCGCACTACAGTCTAAATTACTTGTTAACAATTCTTGCTTTATCTTCTGGATTTTTGTTTCGAAAGTATATGAAGAAGGAATGAAGCTTTTCATCTCTACTAACATTGAAGTTGGGTTCATGACTAACGAGTTTGGTGCTGTTGTTGCTAACATGTTCTTACAATAAAAATAAAAAATATTTTTTTAAAAAAACCAACTTTATTTTTTATTTCGGGAAAATTCATGAGGTGAAAAAACAGGTGAAAAAAGAGGTGAAATCTCACCTCTTCACCTAAACATTATTTTTGGGTCATTTACGCTCATTACGATGAAGTTTCGACAAAACATTTACGATGAAATCATGAAAATTCATGAGGTGAAAAAACAGGTGAAAAAAGAGGTGAAATCTCACCTCTTCACCTAAACATTATTTTTGGTGTAAATTTATGACAAAATTCAAATTGTAAAAAGTCAAGCTTGAAAAATCTAAGTGTTTAGTCTTAGTAAGATGGTAGCTTCTTAAAGCAAATACCATTGCTGAGTTTTATGTACGTGAAGAGAAGTACAATGAATTCAATTACGAGTACAATTGCAATGACAACTAAGGCAACTATTTTTGTCTTTTGCCAGCAAGGGTACTTCTTCTCTTCCAATGGTTCGGCAGAACTATACTCACTCATGAGAAATGCCAAAACGGTTTAATAGAAAAAGTGTCATTTTTTCATGTCCGAAGACTCGAAGGTGCAACACTTCCAAAATACCGACGAACTCAGAAGAGCAGCATGGCAGTATCTTCTTGACAACTTCTTTGAGTTCTCCAGGTACACCTTGGAAAATGCTGAAGAACTCCGACACAGAGAATTTGGAGAAATTGCACTCCAATACTACCTTGACAAACAAAGGGTAAACAAAGGGTAAAATAAGACTAAAAACTTAACGTTTAAAAAGTGACATTTTTATGAGCTCCGAGTCACCGAGAAAACTTGGTCAGATGTTAGCAGCTTACTTCCCTGAGGAGGATGGAAGCGTTACATACGTAAGGTTCAAAAACAACGAACCTGGAATTGCGTACCAAATTCGCAATTACATGACCATGGAAGAGTACGAAAGGTTCCTACAAGAGAAACCAGCTCTAAACAACTCAGAAAAGAAAGAATAAAAAGTTTAACTCGTAATTGTTTATTTTTTTACTTGTATGGGCAAGCTGCAAGAATGAAGTCGACTATCTCCGTCTTTGTCTTGACCAGTTGGACTGCTCTTGCGAGTACGTCTGTTTTGCGGTCTCCAGCTGGTGTCTGACCTTCGTAATTGCGCATGTTCTTGAGAGCTCCAGTTGTAAATGGTTGTAGGATGAAGAGTCTCTCAGACTGCTTGAGGTAGTCTTCACGGTCACGAACCGAATCTGTGGTACGAGTCGAATTGGTCGATTTGAGGGAAGAGACTGAAAGCCTGTCATCTTCCATCGGGGCTGTGGCATACTCTTTGCGTAAGCGGTTCAGACCTTCCTCGAACTCTTGGTCTCTCTTGGACTGAGATTGGAATTGGAATTGGGGTGGAGGGTTTGACATGAACATCCAAGGGTTAGGGCAGTAAGGCATAGGCTGAGGAGGGTAGTTCGGGAAGCCTTGAGGAGGTATTTGGTAGTAATTTGGAAATTGGTAGTAATTCGGAGGTACTTGTTGGAACTGAGGTACTTGTTGGAACTGAGGTTGCTGAGGTGCAGGGGCTGGTGCTTTAGGTTCCTCTGGTTGGGATATGGGCTCGGTTGGTGGTACGTCGGACATTGTCTTGAAACAATAAAAGACTTGTCTTGAAACAATAAAAGACTTGTCTTGAAACAATAAAAGACTTGTCTTGAAAAAGTAAAAGACTTGTCTTGAAAAAGTAAAAGACTTGTCTTGAAAAAGTAAAAGACTTGTCTTGAAAAAGTAAAAGACTTGTCTTGAAAAAGTAAAAGACTTGTCTTGAAAAAGTACGGGTATCGTCTGAAATCAAGACCACTGTTCTCAAATTTGAGAACTTTACACCAAAAAATTTCTTGAAAAATAACGGGTCTTGTCTTGAAAAAGTAAAAGACTTGTCTTGAAAAAGTAAAAGACTTGTCTTGAAAAAGTAAAAGACTTGTCTTGAAAAAGTAAAAGACTCGTCTTGAAAAAGTAAAAGACTCGTCTTGAAAAAGTAAAAGACTCGTCTTGAAACAATGACCGACATAGACCCAGCAGATGAGGCAATCTACCTTATAGAGATAAATGAGCTAGTTAGGAACTACCTGAGCCATCTGAAGTCAAACAAGACCATTGCAGGCTGGGTGTCTGGAAGAAGTGCGCTTAAAATTGAAATTGACACTGGAATTGTCCTGCAAATACCAGAAAACACTCCTTTCGACGACATAAAAGAGATGAAGAAAGAAGTCCTCTTGAAGTTCTTTGCCAAGCGTCCTTGGATACTACTTCCAAACAGAGAGAACCCAACTGTACGAATTGCCCAAATTCTCAGAGGACTCTTACACTTCTCGGGTCGGGCGTTCTTCATAAACACAGAAGGCGACATCGTACCTTTACAGTAAACATCTCATTTTAACTTCACTTTTTTATGTTTTTACTCACACTCGTACTCAACAGGTATGTGTACACATATGTCAACTGTGAACCTTGTATTGACCGGTCTTCCTGCAAATGCAAGTTCGGTCAATACACAATTTATGGTGGCAAGAAAGACAGTGGGGAATGTTATTCTGACATCTGTTGTTGCGCTCGAGAGAGAATTGAAATTCCAGACCCAACTCCAACACCAACACTCAAGTTGCCAAAGACTCATGTGAAGAAGAAGCCTTCTGGTAAGTTTCTTATAGCCATATACATGGCACGCTTTGAGTAAAAACATTTTTTTCATTTTTTGAATGAAGCAAGTTAAATTCGTCCCACACCAATCTCAATGGACCGATGAAGAGTTTCAAGCTATGGTTGAAGACGTTGAGAACGACATAGACGGCGAACTTGAAGGAGCTCAAACCACAATTGCAACCAAAATTGCACAAGTCAAAGAAGATAGCTCCACTTAAAGCTACCAAAGCTACTCTTGACCTCATGGATAGTTACCGTTTAGATGTCAAGAGTGGAATAAGACAATTAAAATTAAAACTTCTAAACTACGAAGCTATACTCCAAAAGTTAGCAGAAATGAGAAGACTTTACCAGAGCTACTTACATGTAAGGGACTTACCTTCAAGCAGTCCGACCAAAGATGAATTTTCTGACATTGTCCCAATTTTGTCCGAAAGTCAGCTCAGATGTTTTGAACTGCTCCCAACATATCCAGAATATGAACGTTTGCCTGAACTCTTCCGCAATCTCAAAAAACGTTTTTTGGTTCTCATGTTCGAAACTTTTATCGGAAGAGACAACAAACGTTCAGAAGAAGAACAAGATATTATTTTAAACTTGTTGTATGACTTAACCGTCATAACAAGCTTTTTGAAGTAAAACCGTCATTCTCAAACCACTTCATTTTTTCGATGTCCGAACAAGCACCGAAGCCGAACACAATGGCAGATGTCCTTTCAATGTTGCCAGACAAGCGCCCAGTTCAAATTCAAATTTTGAATTTGAAAGCTCATCTGACAAACACCGTTAAGACTCTCCAAAGTAGTCTTATGGAAGAGATGACCAAGCTCAAAGCCGATGTCCTCATGAACCAAGCTTCCAATGAGAAATGCCTGAATGATTTGACGGAAACCTTGCGCATTTACGCGAGAGAGAACCGAGACCTTGCCAGACTCATCTACCGTTTCTTCGAAGAGATAGACGCCATCTGGAAGGTACTCGGAAAGGACAGAACCTCCAACACCGTAATTCGTGAACACAGAATTGAAGAAGGAATTGTCGAGGAAGAAGAGGAAGAAGAGGAAGAAGATGAAGAAGAGAAACACGAAGAAGAGGAAGTTTGGGCAACCCTTGTTGCCGATGACGCTTACGAAATTTCCCAACCCTACCCATACCAAATCCGCAACAAGGAGACAGGCAAGGTTCTTACCCCAGTCCTCAACAACTTGGGACACTTGAACCTTAACCTTCGGAATCGCGGTTCAATCTCCATGGGCAAGCTTGTCGCAATTCAATGGGTTCCAAATCCAGACAAGAAGACGAGGTCAGACACATTGACGGTGACAAGCTCAACAACCGTAAGGAGAACCTCGAGTGGTTCTAAGAGTAAAAAAATTTTATTTTAGGGGGAAACCCCGAAGTAAATTTAGGTGTTTAGTTCATTAAGTGGGTTAAATTAAGGGTAATTTGGACAAGTAGTTCCTGACCCTGAATTGGACTCTTTCGTCATCCCAGTTGCCTAGGAGGTCGTCCCAGAGGAGTTGGTAGAATTGCCAATCCAAGGACGATTTGTCCTCCCAGGCATTGAGGATGTACTGCTCGTAGAGTTTCATGACCTCTGCCTTGCACCAGACACCCTCTCCCTTGGAACGTAAGGCTTCTTCGAAGTGCTCGAATGCGATTGGCTGCGGGACCATCTGAAATGACACTTTTTGTCCGTTTGGTCAATGTTCGTGTCTCGTGTCATAGTCGACGAAAATACAAACAAACAGGTTATATATGAGTTTGAGACCAAGAATGGTGTAACTCGACCTGTCCGATTCAAATTCGAATAAAAATTTTTTACTTCATGCAATGTTTTATTTCTGTGCCGTCTTCAAGTATGCCCCAGTACTTACGCTTGGAGAGGACATGAACTTCGGTGAAAATTTTGTCCAATTTGAATTGACCCATCTTTTCACCGACCATGCCCATTTCAATGAGTTTGTTGTACCTTCTTCGTTCGTCATGAGTGCGTCAATGTTCTCATAGTAAACCACAACTTTCGATTTGACTTCGGAGAAGAATTTGTTGTAGTTGTCAAGGACTGCTTTGCGAACTGAGGGTAAGACCAATGTTCGACAATAGGTTTTAATGTGGTTACTAAGCCACTTTGACCTTGAGTGAATTCGTACTTCAAAACAAAAGGAGAAACCTTTCAACAAAGTTGTCGACCTTCTCATAATGTTTACTCTTCATCTCTTGAGGTTTCTTAATGGAATATCCCCATGTCGAATTCATAAGCAATTTGAGTGTCATTGCAAGTTTGGGGTTTGAAGCTTTCCTAATATCATACAGTTGTTGTATGACTTTTCCAACTGTATAGTTCCTTCCTGGGAACTCACCATCTTCGTTTGGAATTCCAGTTGGAATATATTGGACGAACCTCATGTACGCAGCGTTAAGGTCGACATAGTATATCTTTTCATCTGAGTCGAACTTGTCGCAACCAATTGGTCCAGTTTGTGGAAATTCAAGTGAGTCTCTTATCTTCTGAGAAACTTCTCCTGTTATCTCATAAACATCGTCGAAGCAACCTGTTTCATATAAAACCTTCTGACCTAACTCAGATGCTCTCCAATACAATTTGACGTCAATTGGATGTCTCAATGGAAGTTTGTTTATAGCATCTTGAAGTTCTTGCAACCTCATTGGAAGTTCTTCTGGTTCAGGTTGGTATCCGAACAATCCAACTCCTTGTGGAATTGTGTACTTCTTTTGTACTAGAACTTTGTCTGGAACAACTTTTGGTCTTGCTAACAGTGAAAAGTTTGTTTCGTCTTTTGGTACAAAAGTTTCTGTCAGCTTGTCATCTGGAATTGGTTCCAACAAACCTTTCTCGAAAAGAATGTTTACAGCTCTGACAATGTTGCACTTGCCTTTTCCGAACAATGGGTTTGTAAGACTTTCGTTCAACATGAAGTGGTTGTGGACAATTGCAATCTTCAACCATGGTAAGTCTTTGTCAACAACATAGTCGTCATGTGAAGAACCTTTAGCTGTAGGTATGTTGACTCGGATATTGACATTTGCCAACGGTGCAATTTTTGCCAATTGACCTCTGAGAATGTACCTTGTCTTCACACATGACTCAAGATACTTCATTTTCTCATCTGTAACAAGACCAGAGTTCCTGAGACATGTAAGAATGCAAGGTTCATTGACAATTGTTTCAATTGAATTGTAAATTCCATACCTTGTCAAGTCAATGTCAGACTTATTTATGAACGGGAAGTATCCAGCATGTTGTCTGACTGCTTGAGGGTTAGGTTGGTACCATTCAAATTTTACACTTGCAATTCCTTCAATTGCATTCAAAATGTCTGAGTCGGAGTCAACCATTTGTTCTCTCTTTGTAGTCTTGAAAGCGTCAAGAAGCATTGCAGCTGTTGTGACATTGCCATGTGCATAGTAAATGTGACCGTCCAAATCTGTTACGGTTAGTCTGAGATTGTATCCTTTCTTATTTCCGTCTTGTATGGCAGCAAGTACACCCATGAAGCCTTCTTTGTTCTTTCCTTCGTCAAAGTTTACTGTAAAGGTTCGACCAGATGTAATTTGACTTCTAACTTCACGATACTTTTCATATGCATATCTTGTTCTTTCCATGGGAGCATGTGCGTCTTCACCTTTTCCTTTTTTCCTTCTCAAAGGATGCAATTGTTCGTCATGTTTCCAGTAGAATCTGGCAAAGCCGTCGTGTCCTTCAACTTGAGGTTCACTAACATCGAAAGGCATGTCCATAAGACGTTCTTCTTCTAACCTCTCTAGTCTGTTTGGATAATTTGCGCGTGCTGTTTCTAAGTCCATTTCGTAGCGAAGACCAGACAATTTGTCATAGACTTTTATGGGTCTTCCCTTCCTATATTTAAAATTCTTCGAAACTTTCCAACCATATCTTTCTAACTCTGCTTTTATTCTAGCAGATTTTCTATCCATTCTATATGGGGGCATTTTTATAAAAATAAAAAAATATTTTTTTCTTTACTTTACATAACCGCCTGCTGCCATAAGTCTTTGACGCCAACCCATACCAGCTAATGAAGGTTGACTTGGTTTAGTTTGGAAACTAACTTTGGTTTTGGTTTATCTTCAGTTTTTGGCTTCCTTCTTCTATCGGTTTTTCGTCACTTTTCGGTTCCTCTGACTTTACCTCACTTGCAGGTATGGTTGTGTCGTCAACATCTTCATAAATATCATATGCCATTTGTTTTTGTTTTCCTTTCAACTTTTTGTGTTTGTTGTAAAGTTTAGAATATTTCGACTCTAAGTCAATGAGATGTTCTATAATGAACTGTTGGTCAGTGAAGTAAACTTTTCCATCTGTTGTCTCGAAAGCTCCTTCAGACTTCAATATTTTATTTGTGAGAGTCTGTTTCTTTTTTGAGATACTAGCCGTTCCATTTCTATGAAAAGTGACTTTGTAGTTAGGGTTTGTATTTCCAGACCTGGCACTTTCTATTATTGAATTTTTCTCTTCATCTGTAAGTTCTTTGACAGGTTTTGACAATGGTTCTGAACTTTTTGTTTGTGGTGTCAAATCTACCGTTTCAACTTCTTCGGTCATTTCATCTCAGTAAAAAATTTTAGTTTGGTTTGTTTTCAACTGGTTGTTTAGGTTTTTTAAGTCGGTCTAAAACTTCTTGAGGTATAGGAAGAACTTGACAAACACGTGGTTGTGTAACTGCTGGAAGCCGACAAATCCATCTTGAGCCCATTTGTCTCAATGCTGTATTGTTCATTTCATCTCAGTAAAAAATTTTACATTCCCCACGTTTGAGGCGGTTGCGGTTGGTTATTGTTTACCCATTGTTGTGCATGGTTATATCCTCTGTTAAAGAATCTTTCACCTTGGTCCATGTAGTGCCTGCTTGGTTATAGTAGTCATTTGCTTTGTTATAGTAGTTTCCTGCTTCTCTTCCTACATTGTCCATCCATCCTTGAACTTTTCCTCTTGTTTCAGGATTTGGAATAAGATTTGCTGCATCTCGTGCTACATCCCAACCTTTCTGTACAGTTTGTATAATAGGTTGTGCTTTCTCTTTAAGTATACCTAATGTACTCAAAATCTTCCTTCCAATTCCAAATGCACCTCTGGCTATTGTTCCCACTGCGGGCAAAAATCTGGATGCAACTCCTGCTAATGCGCCAAATAAACCCATTTCTTATGGGTTAAAAAATGACGAATCCAAACAAGGACCCCTATGTTTCTAAGGCAACAAAGAAAGCACTCATGATAAAAATCTTTAGTTCAACACCAAATGCTTGGTTTATGGATATCTTGGAAAACATTCCGAGGTATAGAGAAGATGGACCACCATACTGGCTAATATTTGTTGGTCAAAACACAAGATACTGTGAAGCCATACCATTACAGTCCAAAAATATTTTAGATGTGAAAACTGCTTTGACAATATTCGTTGACAAATACCATCCAACAAAACTGACATCTGACTGTGAACGTTCTTTCAAATCAGACGATATTAAAAACTATCTGCGTTCAAAAAATGTAAACCAATATTTCATTGTCGACCAAAACCATTCTGCTCTTGGTGTCATTGACAGTTGTATAAAAATCTTAAGAGACTTAAACAACCACAAGGTGGTGAGGTAGATGAAATGTCATATGACGACAAGTATAGACACTTCTCCATGGCAAAGATGAGACAAGTTTTAAATATTTACAATAGCCGTAAACAAAAAGGTTTGGGAAACCATCCCCTGAAGAAATGAAAAACAACCCTGACTTAGAGAAAGACTATATATTTAATAGTTTAGTCAAAAGAGACAAACAAGAAAGAATGCCAGGCTTCAAACTTAAGAAAGGTGACAAAGTAAAAATAGAAATACCTAAACGCGACCCATATGAAAATACTATTGACTATGACAACAATGGGAACTCGACAGGTACTCGCATTCGTGTTCGTAAAAATAGAAGAAAGTATACAGAGAATATTATGAAGTTTTAGGCAAACATGGCAAAATGTACAGACTGCAAGCAAGCAGAAGATAAAACTACTATTGTCAGACCTCGTTTCAAACTTGTCAAAGTTCAAGGTGGTATTACTTTCAAAGACAGTTCCTAACAAATATAAGACAACTCCTGACGAATATGCTAAAGAAGTTGAAAATGACGACTAAGCAATTCTATACCCATGCGTAAACTGTCATGTAAGGTGGCATGTAGTCTTTACTTTGTCCCGTTGTTTGCGTATATACCC